TAATATTTTTTTAAATTTTTATATTATTTTTTTATCATTTTTTTTTTACAACTCTAGGGTTGCCCTCACCAGATAAAGGTGACGGGCGGCCGACGAGGGCCGCAATGCCCTTGACCAGAGTTGAGGAGGGCGTTGCGGCCATTACCAGATCCGATGAGAGTGGTCATCGCTTGTGTGCGGTGTGGAGGGAAATAGAGGAAAAAAGGAAAAAATTAAAAGAAAAGGAGAAAAAAAAAGGGAAAGAGGAAAATGTCAGAAATTTTAAAAAAAATTAAAAAATTATTCTTGTTAGCACCAATGAGAGAATTACCAAAAAAGTCCTAAACTTATTCTAATTATGCCAATTTAGTCATAACCCTTTTTTTTTTAGCCAATTGAGTCCTAAACCTTTTGTATTAGTGCCAATTCAGTCCATTCGATCAATTTTGGCCAGAAATCGCTGACATGGATATCGATCGTCCTATGTGATGCGCTGGTGCTAATGTAAACAATTTTTAATATTTTTTCAATTGATTTATTTATTATTTTTCCTTTTTTCTTTATCTTTCTTTTTTTCTTTCCTTCCTTCTTCCTCCATCCGGTTCGCTGGACCTCGGCGATTGGCCAAAGGCGAGGGCCATCTAGGTTGACCTCACCGGCCACTAGCAAAGCTCGCCCGTCCCTGGCAAGGCTTGACCTCGCAAGTGGTTGGATGAGGCTGAACTCACCTAACGACAGTGAGGGTGAGCATCCCCAAATCTTAGCCACCCCAGATTAGCCCTTGTCATCACTACCTTGATGACACCAACGCCGATGTTCCTTATCTAGTCCATCCCGAGGTCTCTGTTGCTGTGACTCTTGTTGTTCTGGTTGAGTGCCGGTACAACCCCGCCACTCCAAGTTTCCCAATGCTCAACAACCATTGGTTCAACCTCCTATCACCGTGGATAAGGCCCAGCAACGTACTTTCTTTGGTGAGGCTCGCCTTTGCCCTGCACTGTTGCTGGGCAATGCTCGAACTTGCTGGATTTGGTGAGGATTGAGCCTTACGGTGGCAAGGCGAGGTCAACCTTGTTGGCCCTCGCCTCTGGCCGATTATTAAGGTCTGGCAACCGGCTAGAGGAAGAAAGAAACGAAAAAAAAAAGAAAGGAGAAAAAAAAGGAAAAAGAAAAAAAATTATAAAAAAAATTCAAAAAAAATATTAAAATATTATAAAAATTTTCCGCGCCTCGTATGATGGTTGGCGTCCATGTCAGCGATTTCTGGGCAAAATTGGCCGGATGGACTGAATTGGCATAAATGCAAAAGGTTCATGACTCAATTAGCCAAAAGAAGGTTTGTGATTGAATTGATACAATTGCAATAGGTTTAAGACTTTTTTGGTAATTCTCCCTAGCGCCAACTGTGCTACGTAAGATGACCAACGCTGATTAGATCGCCACGTAACCAATTTCCGGCCAAAATTGGCCGACACTACATCAACTTATTGTAAAAATGTTGATGATTAAATTAGCCAAATTGAAAAGCTTAGGACTGAATTGACCGCCGTATAATAGGTATAAGACTTTTTGGACAATTTTTTCAAACAATTTGTTTGAAGAATCAAAACATGTTTCCGAGAATTCTACTAATGAGGAGTGGGAATGTTTTAAGATGGGGAAAATAATACTAGAAGTGTCATAACTTTCGTACGACGTTTACTTTTATGCAAAATATTTTCATCATATCACTTAAGAGCCACTTAAAAAAAAACCAACTACTTAAGTGCCAACTCTTATCTAGGATGCCCAAAATTTGACGTAGCTATCGCAACCCTCTCTTTTCGGGTTTCCTCTCGGAGGAACGGGAAGAAGAGGAGTTTAGAGGTATTGCTTAAAGGTGGACCAATGATCCTTGATTAGGTGCGGGCTCTTCCAAGCTCACATCTTGCATGACGTTGGATTTCATTTATTAAGTTCAATTTGCCTAAGGGATTTCTAGGAGTCGCCAATATCCTTTTAGGGTCGGCTAGAAACCAAATGAGAAATGGGAGTTTTGTCTTGTTTTCTATGCAATTAGAGATTTATTAAGTCTGGGGACTTAATTACACTAATTGTCTATTTAGCGCCCTTTCAATACTTTTAACTCAGTGTGATTGTACATCTAAGGCTCCGTTCGTTTTGCGAAAAATATGATGTTTTTGAAAAATGTTTTACAGGAAGTCATTTTCCGGGAAAATGATCATATTTTCTGATGTTTGGCTTAAACTTAAAAAAGACCTAGAAAATATTTTCCACCGTTCGATACAAAAAATCTAATATGATTTTCTTCCTTGCACTCATTTTAATAATTTTTTTTATTTTAAAAAAATATTCGAATTTTAAATAATTTTTCATAGTTCTTTTCTTTTCTTTCCTTTTCTCTTTTTTTTTTTTTTCTTCTTCATTCCTCTGCCGGTTGCCGGCCGGCGACCGACCACAAGCCCGCCTCACCAGCCTCGCTTGCCCAGGCTAGCGAGCTCTTGCCTCGCCCTAAGGTCGACGAGGTGAAGCTCGAGCGAGGTCGGCGCCTGGCTAAATCTAGCGAGGCGAGGCTTGGCCCTTCGGGCGAGCTCTAGGGTGGCCTTGGGCAAGCAAGGCCTCGCTCGAGCTCGTCGGCCTTGGGCGAGCGAGGCCTCACCTTGCCTCTCTAGATCTGCCGAGGCATTGGCCTCGAGCGAGGCCTCGCCTCGCCTGTGGCTGGTTGCCGGCCGTCGTGGTGGCTAGCGATCGGCCGGAGAAGAAGGTCCAGAAAAAAGAAAAGAAAAGAGAAAAAGAAAAAGAAAAAGAAAAAATAAAAAGATAATTAAAAATTAGAATTTTTAAAAAAAGAAAATTAAAATAATTAAAATGAATGATGAAAGAATGAGGGTGGAAAATGTTTTCCTCTTTTCAAAAAAAGGAAAACATTTTCCACACTTTTGAAGGTGTTTTTTCCATTGAGGGAAAAATTTTTCCATGGTTAGTTTATTTTTTGTGAAACGAACGCCGGAAAACCCGGAAAACGTTTTTTAGAAAGTTATTTTCCGTAAAACGAATGGAGCTTAAGTGATCACACAATTTTTTACCAATATGATCCTAAAGGTCTTTGAGTCGCTATATGTTCATACAAATGTTCTTTTTGGGGTTTTATGTTCCTAAGGATTGTCCTAATCGTTCTAAGAAAAGAAATAATCAATTTATTTAAAGTGCGGGAATTAACTACTCAATGTATCAATGGCTTAAAGTGCAGAAATGAAGACCCGACACTAGTCGGGAAAATAATATTACATCGCCTTGTTCTAAGCCTCATGATATGAACCCCATAAGCTTGACCCGATACTAAGTCGGGCAAAGAATATACATTGCCTTGGTTTAGGAAAATGGGAGAGCCTACATTCTACCCATTTTATTAGGTCATGATTCTAACCTAAACCAAACCAACCATTATTTAGAAAAATGGTCATAAGTTTAATTGATTTATAATTTTTTTTGGCTAGGCTATGTCAATTAAAGTCTAAGCTAATTTGATTATTGAAACCTAAGTCTATTAACTAAACTAGTCTAATGAACACTAAACCATATACCACCTCTTCAAGTCTTCGGCCGCCACCCTCAAGCCACCGGCCGCCGATCACCAATCACATTCATGCGACCATTCGATCCAAGCATTAGCAAGCTCACGCAACAATCATTCACCAAGCAAAACAAATTAGAATCTGAAGATCGGCTATCAACCATGCGATTTGATTACTCATCCACCTCATAGAACTAAGAGTTGATTAATTAATGCTAAGTGATAATTAACCTCCACTTGCATTTCACAAAGCGATAAGCTAAGTCACTAATACTTAATTATGCTCTAATCTCATTTTCTAAACTCCCCGCCGAAGAAACATGCATTGTTAATAGCAGTTGAGCCTTCCATTCATTTAAATCAACCACACACCAGATCAATTCAGCGTGCAATTATACCAATTGGCCCTAGAAATCACAAAATCAGTTAATTGACCAAATGGGCAACTTTTTTGTTTTTCCCCTAAACTGACCCTTTATGTTTCAATGTCTTAACCTAATCTGTCCAATTTTTATAAATTTCCGGTGGATTTGAAGCTTATTAACTCTAATTCAATTCATTAGAAGAAAACTTTTTGAGTTCAGGTCTAAATTTTCTCGAAATTACCGAAGTACCCCTACCGGTCAATTTTTATCCCTGAATCAGACCCAGTTCTTTGACAAATCAATTGACTTATCTAACCAATTTATAATTTTATGAAATTTACCTCGTTGGAAAGATCTGAATGTCACCTATAAATTTTTAGCTCATGACTTTTGGAGATGTTATCTTTTTTTTTTTTTGGTAACCGAGGTGTCCGGGCCAGCTTGCGCGCACCTCGACTATTCCTCGGGGGAGACTAGCACAACAACCCACCGCCATGGCCCCCCATTTAAATCACAAGTGCTCAGCTGGGGAATCGAACCTGGGACCAGTGCGCCTAACCACACAATCACAAGTACGCCCTAACCAACTGAGCTACCCATGGGTGGGTTTTGGAGATGTTATCTTTTTTTTTTTTTTTTGATAACCCAGGAACCCCCGCATGGCCGACAGCCGGAGGGGTAAACCTGGGGTGACGCTAGCGCAGGACCCACCACCACGGCGGAGATGTTATCTTTAAGACCTCCTAAATCCCAAAATACCGAGACATGCTCAAACAGACCTCTAATTCCAGATTCTTTGTCCTAGATTTGGAGGTAGATGTGGCCCAATAAATGATCTTCAATTTGGCTTTATGACTTATCAAAACGAAGCTTAGAATGTCAGGATAATTTCATTAGGTAAGCAATTTTCGAGATTGTGAGGTTTACTAGGTCTAATCATCCAATTAAACTCAGTGACTTAGCGGATTTAAAAAATGCAGGTTCTGCTAACATATATTCTATTGATTAATCAGCTTCCTAAGCCATTCTCCCAGCCTAAATTGACTCTAAATTAGTTTCAGGCATCTCTATTAAGCATGTCCTTAACAACTCCAGAATTTCAGCAAGTCTCAATAAACTTCAAGCAGATACTCTACAAACTTCATTCTATTTCAGCAAAGTTCAGCAAAGTCCAGCAAAGTTTTCTATTGAACATGATCAAAACAGATTTGAAGCACGAGGATCTTGGCTTACCTTCAGGGATCGGCTTCATCCAGAAATGAAGGTTGAGAACAATAATTCCAGACCACACGCTCATTGCCGACCACCATGGAAAATCACCGGAACATAGAACAGAACAGTTGCTGTACAACTCAGGGCCTTGAAACAGAGCAATAACAAAGATGTGAAGGACGGATAGCAAAAGAAGAAACACATGTAATGAAGACAACAAAGTGCAGAGAGAAGGAAAGGGAGTCGATAGTAATGATTGTGGCCTTTGTCATGTGCAGTCAGCACTTCTCCAAGCTTCTATTTTGAGAGACAAGCTATTGGCAGCGTAGTCAGGGGATTTAAGCAGACACCATTGCTCATTCTCAAGGGAGACATGTCCACTAAACATAACACTGTAAGCATTAGCAGAAAAGGATGACAAATCTAACCCAGCAAGAAGCGTATTTAATCCAACAATAAGCATATAAACAGCAGAATCAACAAAGGTTCCACTCGAATTTGGCAAACATACTTCAGTATCGATTTAGTTTCATATGGGACACAATCACATTTAGCAATCTACTAACAGAAAGCAACAAAAACAGAACATGCACGACTTACAAATGTTTGATATTAATGCCTAAACTTCACCAAAACCACACCTAACTGGAGATACCTAGGAAGCACGGACACTCTCCGGGGGCCTCTGTGTCATGCCGGATACGTGTCGGACATGTCGGACACCGACACTCATCTGACACTCTTTTTTTTATTATTTATTTATTTGTGGATTAGAATCAAATTATTTTGATTGCAATAATCATAAAAATGATAATTTATCATGTATATATAAAAATATGCATTTAATATATAACGGGTTCCAACGTGTCGGAATTCTCATTTTTTGAGAAATGACGTGTCGGCGTGTCGTGTCGTGTCGTGTCGTGTCGTGTCGTGTCGTGTTGTGTGTCGCATGTCGGTGTCGGTGCTACTTAGGGAGATACAACATTTCCATTTGCTCAGACCGCATCAGTCACCACCATTTATTACAATTAGTTCCAGAAACTATATGAATTGTGCCTCTTACGTTTATGCTTTGACCCAAAGAGATAAACGTATGTATATCTTCACTAAAGCAAATAATCTCAGACTCAACAAAGAACAAACTAGCGAGACTAACATCCACTCACATATAGTGAACACTGGGGATCTTGGCTAACATCTACAATATTACAGAAAGACTAACATCGACGCATATACATGAGGACAAACAGAGCCTAAGTACAGCTTAGGTGACAAAAGCAAACGAACAAATTGAGCGGAGGAGAGAATCCTAATCAGATTTAAACTTAAACACATACTGACATCGCTCAGGAATTTCATCAAGCATATGGCATGCATTTCAATCCGATGTTCCAAACAAAAGAGAATATTACCGATTCACAACAAACACATCATAATACCATCAAAGCAGTTTCCAATCGCTAATACATCCTCAACAGAGAGTAATGTACGTCTACGTCATTCAGATAACATCACACACATTCTCCGCTCCGCCATGATTCCGATGAGTAATTTTTCCCACCTCAGGATCATTGCCACCACTCACTAGCCACCACACATGCACAGCCAGAGCATTGAGTATCCAGAATTACAAAGATGGAGAGGGAAACAAGGCAGAGAGAAAAAAGCAGAATTGGGTACACAAACACCAACTTGATTACTCGATTCTGTTCAAATAGACTTGCAAACTATGAGACACAGTTTTCATGTCTTATATTAAGCCAACGATCAGCACAATTGATTAATCAATTCAAGCAAGACCGCCCTATAACAAGTCGCACCTTATTTGTATTAGCATAACCTGATTCTCAACTCAAGCATGGAAAAAGAAACATGAATGCCTAAAAGTGCAATGATCAGATCGCATGAGCATGGAACAAAGTAACTATTGAACTCATTTCTTCTATGAGCGCGCATTGCGGTGTCATCCAATCATTTTATCGAACATGTCAAGTGCATTTCAACCGAAGTACAACCGAGAACGGAGAACGGGGAATTTTACCTTGATGACGTGCGATTGCAGTTGCGATCAGCTGTTGAACTTACAAGGAGTAGTCCTGGAATGGTCACCGATGACGATCGGAACGGACAAAGGAGGATTAAGCGAGTACAAGGCAACTTCGAAATTTCTATTGTGTTTAATGGAAGTCTTGCTCAATGCTTAAAGTATAAAAACTCAAGATACAACGCTGCTTATGGTGTAAAAAATCGATGGATTAATAAAATGGTGTGTAGTCGTCATAGGTGGTGTCACAATCTCTCTTTTCTATCGGCGGAGAAATGGACAAGGTTTAGAGGTACTAACAAAGGTGGACCAATGATTTTCAATTGGCGTGGGTCCCCCCCAAACCCTTACCTCGCGTGACGTTGAGAAATTTATTTAAATTTGATTAACCCTATCAGAATTCTTTATGAGGAGTCGCTACTAGCCTATTCACGTCAAGTAGAAACCAAGTGAGGTATTTGACTATACCTCACTTCCTACACAATAAGAGATCCAGGGATGGGGACTTGACTTCACTAATTATCTAATTAGTGCCCATTCAATACCTAAACTTGACCATTTATACACTCAAGTGTCTAGGTAGTCTTTTACCAATTATGAGCCCTAAGGTTGACGTTTGCTAAGTCACCGATGACGATCGGAACGGACAAAGGAGGATTAAGCGAGTACGAGGCAACTTCGAGATCTCTGAACGACAAACAGAGCAGAACAAGGAGCGCGATCAGTGAAGCTCAGGAACGGCTTCAATCGGCCGCAACTTCGGCGTCTTGAGATTACATAAAGGATGAGTATCATCAATCACTTAAATACTTCCCTGAGCTCTCTGTCAATACTCCGTTTCATTTCTCCGACCTGGCTAGGCTCAAAGCAACCAGATTGTACTGGAGTTGACGTTGTAGGTTCAGCGGTGGTCCAACTCCGACCGGATTTCACGATTGATCGGTCACCGGAATAGAACAGCCAAGAAAGATGATTGACCTTGTTTTGGAGGGCAAAATGTTTATGTATCTACTATGCATGCCCTTGGATTGCAATCTGAAAGAATGGTCAAGAATAATGCTTAGTGATTGACCAAACCCCTCTTGTGGACTGATGACATGAACAGGGGCGTGAATTGATGACATAGATAATGCAAGGCCAAGGATTAGCGGGCCAGCTGAACCTCTTGATGGGCTTGTGGGCCAATGATTTCGGGCCAATTGGGCTTCGTCCCTCTGGGCCGAAGCAGGTCGGGTCAACCAGGTTGACTCGGCTCGACCCTATTGGTCCCACTTCATCGTTTTCGCTTATTTTGCCGAAGTTGATATTAACATTGAATTAATTTGGCCTAATCATACCTTCAAATTGTGCAAATTAGTTTTATCGTGAAGGGTTAATCATACCTTTAAATTTGTGCTCGAACATTGGACGGGTCGTTAGAGCTTGAATCTTTGAAATTAGTTTTGAAATGCTGAATTGCATTAGAACCCGGATCAATGTCTAAAAGGGAATCGAATTGGTGAATTCTAGAATTTCTTGATCGAGAATTAAAGTCTGCGGTTTAATCGAAAAGTCAACTCTCGATCGTTTTTTCATAAAAACTAAGAATTGGAAGCCTAGATATGCTTGCCAAAGATAGAATTAATGATATTTTTATTTTTTTCAAAATTTTCAAAAATGTTGGCTGATGGTTGACCAACAAGTCAACCTTGAATTATTAAGAAAAACGGCACCTAGGCACAAACGGAATGAAATAGAACTTGAAAAACTTTGAAATGACTCTTTTTGGCCGAGAAATGGGCTTTGTTGTGATCAGGGACCCGAGTTTCGAGTTTTTAATTTTGTCGGACTTGTCGGCTAAAATCAACTCACCACCGCGGTTATTTAATTTTAATTAGGAAATAAACTAAATCAGATACTAATATACATTAGAAACTTGTCCTAATCCTCTAGAATCTATCTAAATATGCAATATACCCAACCCAAACTATCCTAACTTAATAAGGAAATGTAATCTAAATCTATTTTAATTTATTCTAGAATCTATCCTAACATGCAAGTTTATCTAAAAAATCTATTCGAATCTATGAAATTGGGATTGAAACTAATCATAAAAATGATTAACTAAACTAAACTAAACTAACTATTAAAAATGTAAGACCGGAATAACATCGGTCTTTTGTCACTGTCTTTGAGAACCTCGGCCGCCTTCTCCACAGACCGCCACGCATGGCCATCACTGGTGGTGTTGGTTTCCATTCAACCCATTCATTCATTCATAACATTTGGATTCAAGCAACTCAAGTCAATTAGCAACGTTGACTCATCAAACAAGGAATGGCCTCAGGATTGGCCTTTGACTTCATGCATTTCAAATTGTCCCAAGCCACCTCCTAAATAACTAGGGTTGATTAATTGAGATTAATGATATTCGACCACAATGCATGCATAAAGCGATGGACAAATTCATTAATCACTATTCCTAATCATTCCCTCAAGCTACCCATCGGGACATGCATCGAACCTAGCATTCATTTAGCAATCACATGTAAGAAAGCTCTAATTAAACATGCATTTAGGCCAATTGACCTTGATGCACAATCATTAATCAAGAAAGGAAGTGAGCCATGAAGGATCACTCATTCAATTTTTATTCAAATTTGGACTGATTTATGTTCAAACTTGGTTACCTCACCAAAATAAGTCCATTTGTGATGGTTAAAGTATTTTCAGAATCCTTAAGAAGTTTACTTTAAAGTTTATAAAGACCACTTAACCAGATTCTGACCTGAAAAATCCAGAATTGACCAAATTAACCCAATTGTCTAGAAATTGACCCGGTTTTGACCCGACTATTGTAAATTGCAAAAACAATATCTAAAAATGTAAACACATTGAGATTATTGTGTCGAACAACTTTTATATATTGACTTTTTACAAATTAGCCACGAATTGTTGGAATATTTTCAATTTAGCCTAAGGACTCATTTGCAAAACTGTTTTGTAGGCCGAGTGACCTTGTCCGGAATTTTGCCCCTAAGGACATCCTAAATTCACAATTATGTCCTACAATTCTCTTGATTACTAACTAATTCAAACCCTAATGAAAACTTTCCAATTTTAGGTTTTTGTAAAAAAGTACTCGAACTTTGTGTAATTTGCAAAACAAAACTGGTTTGTGCAAGAATAAAAAAGACTAAACAAATTCAAAAACTGATCGTTCTTTTAATGCATGCATTGCACTAATCAAACGACTTTGAAATTTTATAAAATTTATATGGTGGTAAAGCTTGACGTGTTGATTACAACTTGTTGACACCTGATTTTTTAGCTCATTCTTCCAATTTTTCCAAAAATCAAAAAATTAGGATTAGTAGACTTGGCCAAGCTTAGGAACCTATTTATAAACCAAAAATAAATTTTTTAGAATTTTCCTGAATTTTTTCTTAATTTCTTTTAGTCAAAATAATAGAGAAAATCAAGAAAAATAGCAAATGGAATCCAAAAATTCCATAACAATAGCCATTAGTGTTATTTTGAATCCAATTTCATCAATAAAGGATCAATTTTATAAAATTTCAATTGGGAATGTGCTTTTCCCAAAATTGGGTAAAATCAAGCCCAAATTGAATCAAAAATTCAATTGAGTCATTTCTAGTCATTTCTAGGCTATAGTGTCTTCACAACAAATGATTCTGGAACCTTGAATTACATAATGGTCAGTCCAATTGCACAATTTACCAAAGAAATCGAAATGCCCCAAAATTCAATTGAAAATTAGGGATTTTAAGCCCAAATTGGAGATCGTGATCAATTTGATATTGTCGAACCTTGAGACCATTATTTCTAGGGTTAATCAGTCATGGGTAATCCAATTTTGGCATCAATTTTTCCCAATCAGGTCATCTAGATGTTAAATTGAACAAAAATCCTAATGATCCGAATTTACAATTTGAGAATTTTGGGTTTAATAGTGACAAAAATTAGGGCAAATCTCATATGTGGGTGCAAAATGTGACAAGGAATTCAATTTTGGGGTTAACTTTGAAAAATTGGATCAAAATCAGGCTTAATTTGCGATTTTAGACCAACCCGGGTCTGCCAAGTCGGCCGGGTCAACCCGACCCGACCCGAGTTGGTCTCTTTCTTCGCTTGACTTGCCCAGAACATAAAATCGGATTCCAGTTGGAGAATCTCCAGCTGGCGTCGGAGATTCGATCTAACTGAGTCGAAGTCGGTGATAACCAATTTTGGGCGGGAAAATAAAGTTAGAAGGAAGGGGGGGGGGGGGGAGAACAGCAGAAGTGTCAAAAGTTTTGTACGGAACTCACTTTGGTGCTCAAAGTTCCATTTGGATCACTTAAGTGCCAAAAAATTTGAAAAACGATCTTTTAAGTACCAACTCCGATCTGATTGGTCGGAAATCTGACGTGGCAATTTTTTATTAGTATTTGAAGCCGACGTGGCTTGCCGGAGAGTACAGTTAGCGTGCAAACAATAAAATGACGCCGTTTTATTCACGATACCTACACGGCGCCATTTTATTTAGCTTCTTCTCCCCAAAATAAGAACCCTAATCCCCAAATTGAAAGATGGACGGCGGAAGCTCAGCAGCGGCTCACATTCGGGATACCTAACCCGTGAAAATCAGAACCTTAAATCCCCAATTATCAACTCGCGCTTGCAGATGAAAGGCCGAAGCTTCAGCAGCGGCTCACATTCGATTAAAAAAAGCGAATTAGATGGTGAATGTTACTGTTTTTGTGGGTTACCGAGTCTGAGAAGAACATCTTGGACTCTGTTAAATCCCGGGAGAAGATTCCATGGATGCGGCAGGTATAGAGAAGGCTCAAAGTGCAAATATTTCAAATGGGTTGATGCCAAATTCTTCGGTCGAGCCACAGAAATGATCTTGCAGCTACTTGAAGGACGACATCAACCTCTACCTACATTAATGGACGAGTTAGATGATGTTGACTCAATGCAAGCTCAAATGAAGGGTTTAACATCTTTAGTCGACCATTTGAAGAGGGAAGTTTCAAGGTTGAAAATTGAAAGAAACTTTTATCGAGCATTGATTGTGTTGTTATTTTCTTGTGTAGTATATTCAAATTTGAAGTGAGCAATGAGAAGAAGTTTGTATGTCTACCATAATCGAAGATGTGTAATATTTACTTGTATTGGGTCATTTGTAAGTACAGTGTGTTACTGGTTTGCTGCAAATTGTATGGAACAAAAGGTTTTGTTCCAATCTATGGTGGAAATGGAAGGTTGGAGTTGGAATTCATTGGTTGTGAGCACTTCAGATTTTTTTTGCTTGGTTCTGTATTGTATATATTGGTTTGCTTGGTTTTTGCATCAGATGTAATGGTTTGCTGCAACCATTACTGCAAACCATGAAGACATTAAGGGGTGGTAACAATTCACGAGTGACTATTTCAGTGCCATAAGTTGTAAATGTTGATTGTTTCAGTGCCAAGTTTTTCTGAAAGTGATCATTTTAGTGTCAATCGCGATAAAAAAGTGATCACTCGTGTTGCACGAGTTTAAAAATAAGAACAAGTCAGTTTCAACTATGTTTCCATTGGCTTGCACCAGTCGTGGTGCATGTTGTTGCACCAGTTGAGTTGCTGGTGCATCTTGTTCTTGCACCAGCTCATATAAGTGTTGGTGCAAGAAGACGCACCAGCACCCAGAGTTGCACCAAGAGCTGTGTTGGTGCAACAGGATGCACCAACAGCCACAATTGCACTAGTGCTGTGCTAGTACATCTTGTTCTTACACCAGTACTTGTATTTGCTAGTGCAGGAAGATGTAGCACCCACAACTTCAACCAGCACGTACATCCAGCACCTACAACTTCAACCAGCAACAATAATCAACCAACCACTTCCAAAAACAACATTAGCCTCATAACAAGGTCCAAGACAAGAAAATAATAAAAACATTATTTCCATTGACATTGATTGGTTCTTTACAAAAATAAATATGTCCATAAAAAACATCAGTCCCCCAATCAGTCAACGATCTCCTCCCACCTAATATGTCAAAGCGAACACATAAAAACAATGGCAGCAATCCCCA